ACCTTTTCCGATCCTAAATGTAACTTATTGCACTTATTGCATTTCGTGCATTTTTCACGTGATCGGTCACGGTATTCAGTATCACAATTCCCAGCATCACGGTAGCCACGGAGATCATGAGAGTCCCTAAATCGGCGAGTCTGGCGCTAATTGAAGGTCGACCTTGTGTAATGATCGGATGAGTGCTTTATCGTCTGTAGGTAAGTACTGGTTTCTTCTTCTTCTCTTGAGTCTTTCTTACTTTCTTTTACTAATCCCTTTCTTTTCTTATTTTCTTGTCTCATCTGGGATTTCGCTATGTCGAATCAGGATCGGGACTCTTTTCGATTCGGTCTTCAGGTTACGAGTCACGTGAGTATGTCGAACGATCAATGGTGAAATTAATTTATTCTTTAGGGCGGACAGGTTCTATTTAACGATGGTCACTGGAGTCTTACAAGATAATACTTGTACTTTTACTAGTGTCGAGTAAGTAGTTTGTGCTTTGCAGGTTGTGTTACTTTATTATTCATTTATTAATTCTATCTAATCCTATCTAAAATCTGTCATCACAATATGCTCTAAGAGACAAGTTTGGATAGGTCGTGCTGACATAGCTGAAAATCTCTTTAGTCCATTAATTAACAATAATTATTTTCTTTGCACAGCATATAATGAGGGTTTGAATGAATTAGGATTACTTGACGAAGGACTTGTGTTCAATGAAAATTTTAATCACTGGTATTATAATAAAAAAATTCTAGATAAGAATATTTCATCACTAAATTTTCTTAAACAGTTTATTTTGTAGACGTAAGAAGTTTTTAAAGATCTAAATTAATGCTGGAATGCGCTCGGGGAAGATCGTGTTGTAGAATTTCCTAAATGGATGTCAAGATTTTTTATCAACATGAATTTCTTGGTGTTTTCTAATAAGCGAGTTTATTCTCTAATTAGTTATTATAATAGATTGTTACCCAGTAAGAAAATTGAAATCAAGAATAACTTTCTGAAGAAAAGTAATGCTTTTGTCACACATTCTGAAGGATATGACAAAAGTATGGTCTATTTTTTCTTTATTTCAACATTTATATGTCATTTTCTGGGAATGAATTTTTATACTCAGCATATGTTATCTCACAAGAAGTGGTTGAAGGATAATTTACTTGAACAAATTTGAGAAAGACGAAAGGAAATTAGACATGCTTCCAAAAATCAAAAATTATCACCTGATCTATTGACAGCATATTTGATGACAAATGATGAGTATGGTAAGCCATTGACAGATGACATTATTGTTGGAAGTTATCTGGAAGCGGTGAGTAGCGGAATTCAGATGGTATGTAAGAAAAAAAAAATTCAAATTTGCATAAACTTTATTCCTCTGCACACAAGATTTAGATAACCTTTATTTTTTAACAGCCGGCGAATTATATGTGCTTTATAGTTTATTATTTGGATCACTATTCCCACTTTAAACAACGAGTTTTTCAGGAATTAGATGAGGTTTTCAACTAAAATTTAGACACGCAAATCACATATGATGACTTAACAAAACTTGAATTCTGTGAAGCTTTTATTAAAGAAAGTGAACAATATGAATTAATTTAGTTGAACCAGCTTTTTTTATTGCCAAAATAATTTTTTTAGAAATTACATTTTAATGTGTTGATTTTTTTTACGTTTCTCGAATATATAATAGTCGGTCGCTTTTGTTTGACCATACCAATTAATTTCTGTATGTCAACGAATCCTGATAAAATTGGTAGCCTAAAGTTTCTTGCGCATATGCTATTCAGTATCAATGTGCAAGCCATACATATGAATAAGTTATACTGGGAGAATCCCGAGATTTTTGATCCAAATAGATTTCTTTCGAAAGACAGCAAACTAAGCAAAAGGCCTTTGCTTTATTTTGGTTGGAAAACAAAAATATGTGAGTATTATTTAGTTTAAAACTTATTTAAAATTTTATTGCTTCTTATCTATATAACCAATATCGTATCTTTTTACATTAAATTAGGTCCCGGAAAGAAATTAGCGATATTAGAGATGAAAATTTTAATAGCATCCATGTATAGAAAATACAATATAAAAGTTATTGACAAAAATGCACCGTTAAAGTGTTATTCATCTTCTATCAGGTATTGCCAGGAACTAAAAGTTAATATCAAGAGGGGAACCTTTTAAGTTTTCTCCATATTATTCGTGGCATGAGTCAGTTTTTTGTTTCTTGCTATTAATGTGTTTTAACAATTCAGACCTATCATATTTACTCTTTTATAACTAATAACTTCTCCATTTCTATAGATGGGCATGATGCAATGTTGACATTTTAAAATTTAAAAATGTGCATATAAATTACTATATAAATTTAATTTAACAAAAATTAATAAATATTAATTTTATATTATGTGTAATACTAGAATCAGTTGGTGGTTTTTCACCTAAATAAAACAGATTAATTTATTGAAGTTTGAAATATTATGAAATAGTAAACTTCTTTCTAAAGATGAAAAAGATTAGATATAATGAATATTAATCTTGCTTCTTGATTTTGGTAAGACACCATGCAGCATTGTGCTGCATTGTGCTGCATTATGCATTTGCACTCTAGCTGTTCATAATGAGTTTATTTATATCTGAAATCTGTTTACAAGAAGGTGGTTGAATATATGTTGTGTACCAAATTTTAGAGACAACTAGCGCATTAATGAGGAGAATACAGCCCTTAAGAAAGAGGTTGCGAGAAGCTAAGTTTTCTAGAAGTTTTTTCAACTTTACCAAAAGCATAGTACGAAGCATGAAGTGTGTGGATTTAATTTATGTACCTTTTTGTGTCTGACTGGATGATTGATTCTTGTGATTCATCTGTGATTCTTATATTTGTATGCTTTTTGTTTATTAACTGAACATTGTGTGATTCCTTTATGAGGTTTTTTGTTTATTAATCACTGTGTAGTTTAAAATCCTATTCAATATTACACAAGAACATTATGTGATCAGATTATTCTAAATATATATCATGTTTGAATTTGTATGTCTGGTCATAGATTTAAAAAATACAAGTTTACTATTTATTATTGTGGCTTTTAAGCCCATAATGTGTACTTTGAAATTTATATTGTTTTATTCCCAGTTTCTCTTGTATTATTGATCTGTTAATTACATATATCTTATATATTTTCTATTTTAAACTTTATTTATACTAGTGTAAACTTTGCATTTTGTTTTAGCTAACTTGATTTGGTAAATTTTTTGAAAAAATTAACTTTAAATTTTTATTAAATAGTAGAATGTAGTAATTTAATAGAGTAGATAAGTTGTTACTTTTCTAAATAACAGATTGAAAATTCAAAACCTACTAATAAAAAAAATTTAGACAATTATTTGTGTTATAGTAATTACTTTTATTAATTAGTTTAAATAAGATTTTTGTATCTATAATTATATTAAAATAACTAGCAAATCATAAAACATTTGTGTAATTTTAATTATATAGAAAAATGCAAATTAGTATTAGATATTAAAACATAAGATACTTTTTTATAGTTTTTTTTTGAATATCTTTGTTGTCCTTGCAACTAGGGGCACAGATGGTGTTTTTTTTATTAAGTTATTATTTTATTTGGTTCCTGCAAGTTTTACATATATTGTTATTATGTACATTACTAGTGGTGTTCCCTAGTTCCTCCATACTATGTGCTAACAAGTTTATCTATGATAACCCAGGTCCCTGGCCCTGCAGTGTAGGATCTTTGACTTCAAGTTCACAGTTCCTTATCAACATAGCTTTACAGATTCTGTTTTCTTTTGGTATATCTTTTTCATAATTTTTTTCTTAATCTAGAAACTCTTATATTATCAATGTTTCTTGTTAGATTATCTTCTTATCTGAGTATTGTATAATTTTGTAGTTATGTTACACAACTTGTTTGTTGCTGTAGTATTCTTGTCCAAAAGTTGAAATAAAAAATCCTCTTAAGATTATAAAGATTCACAATCCTGAAACAGGGTTTCTTCCAGTTGAAATTGAATTAACAATCTTGTAAATATGACCTAAGAGTGGTAACCAATACATTATCAACCCCAGAACTTTTTTTATAACTTTATATATTTATAAAATTAAAAAAAACATAAGCCTACTTGAAAAGACTTAAATTAAGAAGTAATAAAAAACACAAATTCTTTAACTTTTTTTATAGATCTTTAAAACCAACTTTTAGTAGCAAACAATATATCTTTTCTTAATATTTTACTATTCTAATAATCTATAATTTTCAAATTAAACTGCTTCTTTATAATATTCTGTTCTAAAAACAGTATAAATTCATCTATATTTATCTTTTTAATATAACAAATTTTTACTTTTTAAATAAATTTTTTAATCAATATTTTTTTAATATTTTACAACTTATAGTTAGTTATATATACTATTATATCTTTAAACAAAATAATTCTATTAAATTCTCTGCTTTAAACTATATTAATTTCTTTTTTTTTAGTAATAATATGAGGCCTTATTTATATCTTTATTAGTAATTAAAATAGTTATATACATATATGCTATAGTTGAGGCCAACATTTGAAATTAGGGTTAATCATTAAACTGCTAAATATATAAATACTACTATTTGTATAAAATAAATAAATTAAAAATTACATACAAGAATAAAAGCTCAGACTAATTTATCTGTGATCTAAACCTGCTAGAATGGTTAAAATTTATCTAAATTTGAATATTTAAGATATATTTTAATAATATATTATATTTAATTTATAAAATAGACCAAATGTTAATTTTGTGAATTGCTTGGCTGATAGAAGAATATATATTAAAGCAATTATGTAATTGAATAGAAAGTTTACAAAGACATAAGTAGGTATAATCTTTTTTGAAGTGTTTACATCTAGTAGATTAATTGATACTATTGAAGATTTGTTAATAGGTTAGAATTGAAATATATTTTATTATCTTTTTCAATTAGAAAAGTGAATGCAATATGTTTTTCATAACTGCTCATATAATTGTTTATTAATGTTAAGAAGAATATTAATAATAACTTGAAAAGCAATTATGTATAAAATATCAAAATTTTGAATTATTAATATAAATAACTTTAGAATAAGTTCTTTAAATGTAAGATTAGAGTAAAAAGTATTGAATAGTATGTATAAAAAGTTAAGAGCTGAGTAATTAAGAATTTTATTAACTAGATCATATTTTTGATTAGTATCAAGATTAGATAAGTTTTTGAAAATAATTTAGTTGGTAGAAGTTTGAATAATTTAGTTAAACAAAAATGAGTTAATACAAGTACATCAATAAAAAGAAAAGTTGAGTAAGTTATAGTAAAAGTAAATAGTATCTGAGTATTAATATAGATTACTAGTATAATATAATAAGTATATTGGCAACTCATTAAGAAGAGTTTTAATTTCAAAAAATTTTAGTTACTTAAGTCTAAAATTAGTAATATTATAGAAAAGTTTTTAATTGTAATTAAAATAGAGCCAGAAGGATCTTTAATTAATATTTTGATTAAATATAATTATTTACTGCTATGTTTTTGTAATGTCTATATAGCTAAGATGTAAGCTTTACAGATTTGTTTAATAATATATCTTGTAAAAAGTTCTACAAATATTGATTCTATTAAAGAATATAGTAAAGATTATAGAAATTTATATAATTAAATGAAAGAAATTGTAATAAAGGATGTTGCTTGGTATGAAAATCTGCTTACTCATTAAGATAGTTATCTGAATAAGCTTATATTTTATGAAAGATAATTTGTAGTTTGTATGATTAAATAATATTTAAAAAGATATGCCAAATAGGATATGAATTAAATTTGAATAGTTTGTTAGAATGGATTGAATTAGATTAAAAATTATTAAATTTAGAGATTACTAATTGAGAATTAATAAAAATATTAATTGCTAAATTATGAGAAGCTATAGAGATTGTAACAATAATTAAGAAAAGCTTAGCTTTGTATAATAGAAACCAGAATTGTATTTTAGTAAAAAATGAGTTAATAGTTTAATCATAAATCATTTTGAATTTAACTAATACCCATTGTGCATTGGTCAGTATTAATATTAATTACAGAACTATCAGTATAAAAGAATAGTTGTTAATAGAAGTAGTTATGATAAGAAATAAATATAAATTTGTTAATAACTTCATTTGAATTAAAAATTTTAAAAGCAATTAAGTCAGTAATAGAAATAGTATATAGAAAAGGAATACAAGTCAGATGCTTAATAGCAGTAAAGCAAATAAGATTTAAATAATTTGTATTAAGATTGAGTTAGTGTTTAGAATTAGTTCTACTAAAAAATTATATTAAAATAATTGCAGAAACTTTAATAATACAGGTTTGTTTAATTTAATTAAGATGATATTCTGTATATCATTTGTATTCAACAAGAAGTAAAGAGTAGAATTTTGAATAGTTTAAGTCTATATTAGAGATCTAATAAGTAATAAAATAATGGTTAGATGAATAAAAGTATTTTTGTATTTTTTTAATAATAATCTCTTTATTGTAATATAAAAGTAACCATAGTTTAATTTTGTAAGTTTTTTAAATATATTAATAATATAATAGATATAAGGATTATTATTATTTTTTTTTTTTATTTTTTTAGTTTTAAGGATAATCTTGCTTGTGTATCTTTTTATTATTAATAATATATAATTATATAATATATCAACAAAAGTACAACTAGTTATATGTATAACTTTAGTCAATTTTTAATTAAGGGTTTCACTCATAGGTTACTCACTAGATGTCATATCTGAGACCTGCTTGTGAGTTCCCTATTTAAACTTTCTGATTTTCTATATCTGAAATATGATATATTTTATAATTAAGACAGAACAGGTTAGGGCTATCTAATTACTATTTATATCTAAGTGCTACCTCATTAGATATTACTAAGTATTTATAGTTCTTTTGAATTTACTCTCAATGCAAACTTACTAATTATGGTACCAAAATTACCTCTTAGATTTTTCTAATTTTATATCTACTAGAACCAGTTTGGTGTCAGAAGTGTTCGAATTTCAGTAAGTCTATTTCTTTTTCGTAGTTTTCTTTTATATTCACCATATCATCTGCTAGTGCACCTTCTCTCTATTTCTGGTATATTTCTAGCTTCTCTTACATTAAGTGCCAACTCTTTATATTGGAAAACTTCTTTTTGAGAACCTTCTTATACACTGATCTTCTATTTATATAGACTTAGCCACAGAGCTTCACATACATTTATATGCTTCTATAATTACAAAATTTTTGCCTCTAGCTAAAATTGAACCATTGACTTTGTTTGTAGTAAGAGGGGTGCCTAGACTACTAGGCTATAGAATTCCATCCCTAGACATAAGGATTATAACCACATAATTAGTAATATAATAGTATAATTTGATAATAATAGTATATTTGATAATAAGTGTATGTCAGAATAATATTCTCTAAATAGAAAAACCAAAAAAATTTCTATCTTTAGGAAATGTAACAATTTGGGTAAGAGATATTTCCAGTCAAGTAAGATACTGTTATTAGCTATACAGAGCTGTTCAAGATACACAATATTTAATTATCTAAATTGCTTTTTGAAAATAGAGTATTTAAAATATTGTAATAAAATCAATTCTAATAACTGGCTTTATTACTAATTATATAAGACCATATTATATTAGAGTTAGTTAGAATTATTATACCAAGGTAAATTAGAAGTTAGATAATTTTGCAGTTTAATAAATATTTATTAGAGCCATTGATAGTTAGTTTAGAATAATATAAAATGTTAATAGGAGATTATAAGTTGTTTTGTAACTGTTAAAGTTTTATTTAAGTTGT